ACATCTCGGCTTGTTACAGGGCTCTTTACATAATAGTTCCCATTCTTGGAAATTGCTTTCCTGCCACACTGACATTTTTGACAGCACTCGCCCACATCTGCCCCATGTCCGCCCAAAAGCCGCCGAAAGGGGGTCTGCGGTCCAGCCATGATCCCGGCCTATCGGATCCAGATCCTTGCCGCCTTACGTCGGACTTTTATCACAGAAAAGTCATTCATTTGCCCAAGCGCCGGGAGTGCACGGAGGACGGAGTGCCTGCTTGCTGACCCTTGTGCCGTCCACATCTGTCTGTCGTCGGCGGTCTTGCGATTATCGTGCCCCTGATTGTCACATGTATAGCGAATGACTCTCAGGGCTACCAGTAGACAACAAGTTGACATATTGCCAGCTTGTCTGTAATCCTCGGATGATGATAAAAAACAAGGCTATGCACCTGGACATGAAATCCAATGCCAACTCAAAGTACCGTTCCTGTTATTCAAGGAGCCGCTGATACCTTTTCCCAAGCTCTGAATATTGGACAATAATCTTGCTGACAGTTTAATGTACATTGTACTCCTCAGGGCCTGCCTCGATCCCTCTCTGCTGCGTACAAACTGGATGAATGGGCAACCGCTCAGAAAGCCCAAGACTGGTTGAGCTGGCACACCGGATGAATTACACGCAACTCCAGCACTAAAAACCCGCTCAGAAAGAAATACTAGGCGAGGCACCCCAACCGATCAACCGACGAAATTGCCAAAATCAGATCCCGATCGGCGCATTGTTTGGCAACAGCTAATATAACATGCCGCCAAGCCAGACCCCAGGACATTTTAAAGAATACCTTTGATGGCGTCCTGTCCATGCCAAGGGACCAACTATCAATGCCGATGCATGCCCGAGCTTGGAACCCAAGTAATCTCGTGATAAACGAGACCCGATTCTGGGGCCAGAGCATTGGACCCAATCAAGACCCGGGTTCAAAACCGGAATGATTACTCGGTGTTTTAAGAGATTATCAAACGCCGGTATAAAAGGGTCTTATCATTCCACGCATTTATCCAATATTTGGTGTCAATGGCAGATGATACTCGATAGTCACAAATGCAGTTCTCATTACTAGTAAGATGCTTTATGCTGATAGATGATATCAGCCCGGTGAAAAAAAAAAAAATAAAGCCTTGACCAGCAAGACTTCACCTAATCTTTTTGTTCTTGATTGACCGGCATGCTACCCGGATGTTTGGAGCCTAATCCCCTTCCAACGCCAATGCATGAAGCTCAGGCTCCAAGACCCATGGGGACTGTGGGCCAGGCTCAAACCGGTTTGAAGTGGTACCGGGATGTTGTGCCACGACGCTCTGCCAAGGGTCGCTGGCCGAGCACGTCAACCAAAATGTACAGAGTTAGTACTCCGTACGTAGTACTTAGACTTGAACCTTCTGCGATGTCTGATAAAAACCGACGACAACGCTGGGTCTTAGCATTGGGTTCCGTGCCAACCCAACCTTAGGAGCTGACGGAGCAAAGGATGCCGGTCCAACCCCCAAGATGCGACCATGCATCACGATATCGTCTCACACGGTGAGCATGATTGCCTGACATGGAGGGCACTGGCCACACGACGCAAGGGCGGTGAAGCGCCTGGTGCCCTCTCGCGTGCATCTGGAAGTTTCCGCGCATTGCCTCGAAGCTCAAAGCGTGATGTAATTTGTGTGACGGAACCTGCCGAACCCTGGCTTTGAGTGTTGCACGGGGAAATTATGCCTGTCAGCGGTGCATGCCTGCGTGCATCTCGTGAGAGATGGGGAGTGGGCAACGGCTACGAGCGAGACAAACCACCTGCCTAGGTAGGCAGTCAGCCGGCAGGGTCTCGATCGTGAGTGAAGAGTCTAGATATCAGTCCCATCGAGCACCTGGTTGATACAAAGAACAACAGTTGACCAAAAGCTTAAAAAGTTGAAATTATGCTTTGAAAAACCATTATTACACGACAGACGTGGTCGTTTGCGTTTCTATGTATATACATGTCATTCGTTACGAGTCGCCGCCTAGAACCCTTTCAAGTCAGAGGAGGGGAGGGAAAAGCAGAGCGAGCACAGAAACTAATTGAGTTGCTGTGATGGGCAGTGCGCAAAATCACCAAGTGTACCACGACCCCGGAATCTCAAAGGTCGTATATTAAAACATTACTTTGGTTGCTACACTGAGCAGCCAGGCAGCATCCTTCCACCCGCCCTCATCCGACATGGGGGGCGGTAATCGTTCGACGGGAGCGTGCAGGATTCCTTCAAAGTGCCTATGGGAGCCACCTCCGCGGCCAGTGCGAGCCAACTCCTCATCATCCATATAGTCCTCCTCGTCGTCTTCTTCAGAGTCTTCGTCGTTTTCGTCAACCTTGAACAGGGACCAGCCAATGACGTTGCTGATCCACGAACCTCTACCAACCGTGCCGTGTCGGACCAGTCGCCGCACAGTGGCTTCATCGTCCTGTGTTGTATCACGCTCAAGCTCCTCGAGCTTCTCGTCCAGGTTGACAAAGTCTGGGCCGGCGACGGCAGCCTCCGGGCTGCTGGGGAAGTAGGAGTCGCCCTCTGTGGCGGCACGCTCAAACGGGGTTCCCAAATGGCTGCGATTCTCGGCCATGCTGTGCTTCCTGCTGTTGAACCTGCTGTCGAAACGGCTGCCATTGGGGGTTGCATCGTCATCGGCCATGACTGAGCTACCACGGCGACTCCCGCGTTGACTGGCCACTTCCCGCTCCCGCGCCAACTCCCGCTCGAATGCTTCTTCGTCGGCATCCCGCATGCCAGCCAGGCTTGTTGAGCTCTGCTTTGACACGAGCCAAGCCTGGCCTTTATACTCCCTGGCCTCGGAGCTGAGCAACGCCCCGGCCCTCACAAGCCAGTCACTATCGTTTTCGTTGCCATTGGCATTGCCGAGGACATCGCGTCGTCTGGGTGTTGAGGTTCCGGACCTTGACTTCTTCCCGTAGCCGCTGGCGCCGAGATAGGTGGAAGACTTGCTCTTGGACAATGGGCCGCTGGGGGCCGAAGGGGCCCGATGGTGCGATCGGGAGCGAGGCGTCATAGAGCCGCGGGAGAGAAGTCGTGGTGTCGTGGGGGCCGACTTGCCCTGCAGATATGTCGCATGGGTCTGGGCGGTAAGAGACTCGGGGATGGCATCGCTGTCGTTGATGGGTAGCTTGACGGTGAGGGGCGCCAGAGAGAGGTGGTTGATATTTGTGGTTGATCGATTCTTCCGCTTCGCGCGGTCGGAATGCTGATTGTAGGCAACATCCATGATACGAGAAGTAGGGCGTAGGGCGTCACAGGTGGGCCGATATGGACGAAAAAGCTGGGGTAAAATTCGTTGCAGAAAAGAGAGTGCGTCCACATGCGCAGGCAGGGAGAAAAGAGACAAGAGACAAGAGCGTATGCCGTCGCGAGTATTAGGGAGCAATTGGACAGAAGGGTTTGGTCTTGTAACTACCCAGGTAGATATGAGAGATATTGAGAGGGTACTCGGCAGGGGAGGAGCAGATAAAATAGTAGAGGCTGATCTTCAACTAACCGAATCTAGATCAGAGGCGGCTGGTTGACGTTGCTGCTGGCTGGGGGGCTGTAAAATGTTGAATGTTGGCGCGGCACAAGACTCACGGGATGCGCGACTTGGGAACCAGGATGCCACTCAGACTCAACTGTTTGAAAAACCATCTGGCTGGACCCCTCAGCTCAACCAACTGAGCACTAGGCCGAGGCTCAAGCTTCAAGCAGATAGAGGCTAGCCCTACTGAAAAGTTGCACCTCAAACGCCTACCCTATCGCCAGCTGCCAGGTCACGCATCGGCTGGCAACGGAATGGAAACGTCCAAAGCAGCTCCCTAGCATCGGACACGGCGCCCAGCTAATGCAGCCGAGTGTTTTTTTACCTCATGTGTATATTTGCCACTGTAGGCGTGTAATATGTCGCCGGGTCTCATATTTCGGGTCCGTGGCAAAGTTTTGCCGTGCAGCAACTGGAGAGTCATCCGATTTGTGTGGGTTGTGTTGCATAGTGGTATGTTGAGTCGCATGTTTGGAAGTTTGGAGGGCAGAGTCGGCATGAACATGTCATGTCATCGCGTGTTTGATTGAGCAGCCACAATGAGGTGATGGATATCTACAAGTCAGAGCCGCCATTTCAAGAGGGTCTTGTGTTGTTGTGGTACGTCATTGACATGGTAGCTAGTTCATGATCTGGAATCATGTCGGTGTCTACCTACCGGCAACATCCCTGCCTTGCGGTTTGATCGCTTGCCGCTCGATTGCTCATTCGCGCGAGATGGAAACGCTTTCAAATGTGGTTTTCGCTGCCGTAGAATCAAGGATCCGGGGACAGCCGGTCGTCTCATATCTTCTAATTCCCGTCACACTTATGATCTCTGGTGAGAATTTAGTCTCCCTCACGTATGAGATTATATATTTTCACCTGTAAACACTCAGCATCTTTCAAATAGCTTGACCATATATCTTTAAAATGTCACACCAGGATACGGAGCCTCATTTCGCTCACAAGATGCCAGGTAACGCCATTGGGCTAAACAGATGAAATAGTCGACAAAATTAAAATAAGAAACGCCATATTCTATTCAATTTCCCTCCCAAGAACACTCTAGCACGTTTTCTTTGCTCATCCATCTCGAAAAGGAGTCACGCCTATCATCGGTTGAACCTTCCATGTTCAAAGTTCAATGTGCACTGGCTCCTTCCCAGCTGTGCCCACTGGGCAAGCCAATGACAGCCACGCTAATCCAATCTGCTCGCGCCGATCTCGTGCAAAATGTCGAGACAAAAATTTAGCCGCCCACATTGCACCTGGACGTCAGGTCGAGGGACTCAAGGCAATAGCTGGTACTACTTCTACTACCAAGCCTCATCGTCATAAAGCAGTAGTGCCATTCTATTGGCCGCGGCCGTCTCATTTCATTCTTGATGCATTAATTCTTCGTCCATCTGTCCGGTCACGTTTCTTCCACCATGCGCAACCTTCGCAATGTCCGCTTTGGGCGGTGGAGCCATCCCGATATCACATCTGCCTGCTGGGACCCCGAGAAGGACGAAATTGTTTGCACGATTGGGCCGACAGTGGACAGCACGAGTATTGAGCTGGTGAGGGTTTCGGAAAATGATCTCACGTAAGTTGGTTCAAAGAATGAGATGCAGGGCCTGCACGCGAATGGTTTTGAAGAGGACCATGTTTGAATATGATCTTCACACAAAATCACCAATTAACGCCCATGTAGATCACACAAATCAGTAGCAAGCTGGAATGCTCCCAGTCCAAGTCCAGATCTACCAGTAGACAAAGTTGTCAACATCCAGTATCTCAGCAGCTCAGGAACGACATGTCTGGTTCTCGAAGGGGGAGACATCATTACCGTCCAAGAGGACCAATTCTCAGATGATGGCGCTCACATTGAGATCATGGGCTCCATTGATGCCGGTATTTCTGCTGCACGATGGTCCCCCGACGAAGAACTTCTCGTTGTGACCACCAAGGCAAATACGGCTATTTTCATGGGCTCCTCCTTCGATCCCGTGGCCGAAGTCACTATGACGGCTGATGATCTCAAAGCCTCCAAACACGTCTCTGTTGGTTGGGGTAAGAAGGAGACACAGTTTCAGGGTCGAGGGGCTAAAGCACTGCGTGACCCAACCATTCCTGAAAAAGTTGACGAGGGGTTGCCTAGTGCACATGAAGATGGTTCGACAACGATTAGCTGGAGAGGCGACGGTGCCTACGTGGCTGTCAACTCGGTCCAGGAAGGCAGCAGACGAGTTGTCCGTGTCTACTCTCGAGAAGGTGAGCTAGATAGCGCCAGTGAACCCGTTGATGGGCTCGAAGGCGCACTTAGCTGGAGACCATCTGGCAACTTGATGGCGGGCATCCAGCGACTGGCTGATCGAATCGACATCGTCTTTTTTGAACGGAATGGTCTTCGACATGGCCAGTTTACCCTTCAATCTCCCGAAGGCTCTATTATGTTTCACGAAAAGATACGCTTAGAGTGGAACTCAGACTCAACTGTGCTAGCAGTCGCACTGAAAGATAGCATCCAACTCTGGACCATGGGCAACTATCATTGGTATGTAAAGCGAGAAATCCCCATTAGTGCCGAATTTTTATGCCTATCGTGGCATCCCGAAAAGGCCCTGCGATTTGCCTCGGCTTCGTCCTCTGAGACAGCCATCTTTGAGGAAGTCTTCCACACGGCTAGAGGGTCATGCTTGCCACCATATGACAATGGTGCCGTGGCAGTTGTCGATGGCGAGACCGTTAAACTTACACCTTTCCGAACTGCAAATGTGCCGCCGCCGATGTCTCTATTCGATATCACTGCCGAGTCGTCGGTAGTGGATGTTGCCTTCGGGCGCCAGAACATGTCATTCGCCGTCTTGCACCGAAAGGGTATTGAAATCTACGACTGGCCAATGAAGAATGGACGCTCAATCAAGCCCAATCTAAAGTCCAAATTGTCATTCGCATCCACCGGGGTTAGTGACAAAGTGGTTCCTCTACGCATCTGCAGCACATCAGGCAGCCATTACCGGTGCCTCGCATCATCGGGAGACTCAGACCTGGTGCATTTTGCAGTCAACGCCGACGCTGGCACGATTGACATTATCAACAGCCAGGAAAACTTGGTTTCCACATCAACCTATGAAGATGCGACGTCTGTAGAGAGCTACGGCCAGGATATTTCCGGAAACTTGTATAAACTCTCCGAGACGTCGACCGACCTCCTTCCTCTCCAATTTCCTACTCATCTGCCCTGGTTTGAAATCGTCAAATTGGACGGAGAGTTAACCGCCTTTGGGTTGTCGAGAAACGGTCACATTTATGCCAATTCCCGACTTCTAGCCAAAAACTGTACTTCATTTGTCCTCACAGCCAGTCATCTTATCTTTACTACGAGCAATCATTTTGTCAAATACGTGCACTTGGTGTCAATTATTGAGGGTACGTAAAGACAATAATTTATACTCCATCAACAAGTGCAACGCTAATAAAATTTAGAACTCGAGGTACCCGAAGATGACCCCGAGAAAGACGAACGATGCCGTAGTGTTGAGAGAGGATCACGACTCGTTGTCGCCATCCCAACGAACATGAGCATCGTTCTGCAAATGCCCAGAGGCAATGTGGAGACCATCTTCCCTCGAGCCATGGTAGTCGCTGGTATCCGAAGCCTGATCGAGGAGAAGAATTACTCACGGGCGTTTGCGTACTGCCGTACACAACGTGTTGATATGAATATCCTATATGATCACAAGCCGACGCAGTTTCTATCCAATGTCAGCCTATTCTTGGATCAGTTAAGTAACATGACGTATATCGATCTCTTTCTGTCATCTTTAAGGTAAATCATCTCATGCTCAATCAAACCTGGCTACTCAACCTAGTCGTGTTAACCTCACTGTAGGGAGGAGGATGTCACCGAAACAATGTACAAGGATACCAGGAGATCACGAACCCAGCTCGGCATTGAAACTGAACCAGTGCCAACCAAGCCCTCCTCCAAGGTCAACATCGTCTGTGACGCCATTCTCAAGGCCCTTCAGGCTCGCAAAGCCACCAATGTCCAAAACATCATCACCGCACACGTCTGCAAGTCCCCACCCGCTCTAGACGACGGCCTCATGCTCGTTGCCGAACTCATGCGAGAAGATGAAAAGGTGGCCGAGAAAGCAGTGGAACATATCTGCTTCCTCGTCGATGTGAACCGCGTCTACGAAAATGCACTGGGCCTCTACAATCTCGACCTTGCTCTCCTTGTAGCACAGCAATCCCAGCGTGACCCCCGAGAATACCTCCCTTTCATCCAGAAACTCCACGCTCTTCCTGAGCTGCGGCGCAAGTTCCAAATCGATGACCATTTGGCCCGACGATCAAAGGCCCTCTCACACCTCCAGGCCCTCGACGTCTTTGACGAGTTCTGCGTCTACACCACCAAACACTCCCTCTACCAAGACGCCCTCCGGATCTATCGCTACGAACCTACCCGTCTTCAATCCATTACCAATCTCTACGCCGCACATCTCGAATCAAAATCGTCCTATCGGGAGGCCGGTCTTGCCTATGAATCCCTCAAAAACTACGCCAAGGCAACTAGCTGCTACCGCGCCTCGGGCGCCACCTGTTGGCAAGAATGCCTCTACACCGCACAACAGCAATCACCACCCCTATCGGCAGAAGCAATGACCGACCTGGCGACCAGTCTCGCCGACGCCCTTTGGGAAGCCAAGGACTACACTTCCGCCGCGACAATCCACCTGGAGCACCTCTCCTCCCTTGAAACAGCCATCAAGTGTCTCTGCAAGGGCTACCACTTCGCCGAAGCCATGCGCCTCGCCGTTCAGAAATCCTGTCCCGAACTCCTCGAATCTGCCGTTGATGTGGGTCTCGCCGAAGCGCTCGGAAGCACGACCGAGTTCCTCGCCGACTGCAAGGGCCAGCTCCTCGCACAAGTGCCCCGGATCGCAGAACTGCGTCGCAAAGCCATCGAGGACCCGCTATCCTTCTACGAGGGCGAGAGGCCGGGCGGTATGGATATCCCCGACGACGTTTCCGTAGCGGCTAGCTCGCGCATATCCACCAGCGCATCCCTATTCACGCGGTACACCGGCAAGGCAGGCAGCGTGGGCACCGTAGGAACAGGCGTATCCCGCGCAACGAGCAAGAACCGCAGACGCGAGGAGAAGAAACGCGCCAGAGGACGGAAAGGAACCGTGTACGAGGAGGAGTACCTGGTGAATAGTGTGCGACGGCTCATCGAGCGTGTGAGCGGTACCAAACCAGAGGTAGAGAGGCTTGTGTTCGCCCTGGTAAGAAGGGGCATGGCCGAGCGGGCGAGAGCAGCCGAGTCGTTGATGAACGATGTCGTGGAGGCGTGCCACACGGCGATCTCGGAAGTGTTTGCTGCTCCCCCAGACAATGACGACCAGCAGCAGCATGTGGAGGGTGTGGGAGAATTTACATGGACGGCCAAGGGCGGCGATGCCGTACTGCAAGAGTGGATGGAAGGTCGGGCCAAGAAGCAGGAAGCTCCCGTTATTACGGCTCTACAAAAGTTGACCCTGTTGGGATAAGAACGAAAAAAAAAAAAACAGGACGGAGAGAGAAAGTTGAATACCAGTAACCTGTGAGCTTCCCCTGGGATTCGAGAAGGAGGGATTTTACGTAGAATTGCTACGAGCTCTATATGGACTACGTGACTCACCAAGCCTCTGGTTCGGGGAACTAAGCGCAACACTGAGGAGGTGTGGGCTCACTTCTAGCATGGAAGAGCCCTGCATCTTCTACTCGGAAGCTCGAGAAACACGTCCTCAGTGTCGTGCTTAGTTCCTCGAACCAGAGGCTTGATGAGTCACGTAGTCCATATAGAGCTCGTAGCAATTCTACGTAAAATCCCTCCTTCTCGAATCCGGTTATAGCTCTAGCTCCTTGTTAGGCATGAATCTCAAAACACATTTCACAGAATATAGTCACCAAGGACAGAGGACACATATGTGAGATTATGTCCATTCGTTTGTTGAGACGACAAAAATCATCATTCAAGACCGTACCATCCATGACAAAACCAGTTCGCCTGCGCTATGAAACCATGTCCTCCAAAAGCTCAACTTGGGAAAAAAAAAATTACGTAAAAAGAGTGCTAAATGCACGGCCAGTTTACAACTATGATACAATCCCAAGCCGAGTAAATGCTTAAACAAATATACCTCAGGCAGCGGTCTCCGCTGCTTCTTTGGGTGCATCTTCAGTCACCGTCGTTGGTGCGGCATCATGGAATTCCTCGCCATCAGCTGACTGTTCAGCCTGCTCTTCTGGCTGCAACTCTTCTTCTCCGATTGGATTCTCAGGAATGATGCCGTTCTGGCGTTCCCACACTTCACGACGGATTCTCTCATCCTTGGCCTTTCTGGCGCGTTCCACCTCTTCAAAGCCGCCCGACTTTTTCAGCTTGCCGTCTTGGACGTAGGTGGCGATTTCTCGCAACATGGCATTGCCTCGCCGGCCCTCTAATTCCTTTTGCCTCAGCTTCTCGGCTCGTTCGATAGCTTCTAGCCGGTTCTCATGATTCGGCTGCAGAGCTCGCACTTCCCCCAGCATGTCCTCTTTGGCAGCGCTTTGATCGAGGCTGTTGCCGAGATGTGATAGACCCTTGGAGAACTGTCGTGCTGTGCTTGCACTAGCACCAGTGCCATTATCCTTCATTTGCTCCTTGGTAGCCTGTTCGACCAGAGTAAACGTCTCCGACGCCTTGTCCAAATCGTCCTTAAGGTCCACCATAAGATCCTCCATAAGGCGTAGCTCGTCCCGACCTTGGCACACATCCTCAAGCTCCTTCTCCCAGATTTTGGTCCAAATGGGCTTCTCGTTAGCCATGTATTCTTCCATTTTCTTCAGCTCCTTGGTCAGATTTGCAATATCTCTGGCAACCTCTTCCAGTTGACGAGGAAGAGGACGCACTCCGCGATGAACGACATCTTTGCGCAAGTCCTCGATCAAGTCTTGTAGGTCATCTACCTTGCCAACTAGACGATCTGAGTCTGAGTTGAGTTGTTTTCGTCCGTTGGTTACGTACGAGTAGCCGGCATTTCCTTCGATATCGGGAATGGCGGCCTTGGAAGCAGCAGATTTCACGTTGGCAGCCTTCTGGCGGATACTGGTCATCGAGTTCTGCACATCTGATTGGAACGAGGAATAAGTCTGTCGCAGCACAGCTAGATCGCGTCGCAGACTTTGGAGCTCCCCAGCTTGACCAGCATTCAGCCTACGGCCTGCACCAGGGAGCACCCTTACGCCACCTTCTGCTGCCGGCGGAACAGGTGAAGCGGTTGCCAAGCGAGCCAACTCGGTTGCCGTTTCTTGTTGCCTGTCAGACACTCGCTGAAGAGTAGTTCCTTGGTCATCGACATTCTGCTTCATCGATTGAACAATTTTGGTCAGGGCCAGGAGTCCGTCATCGAAATGTCGCTTTACCTCGTCCAATGGTTCTACATTGAGAACCAAAACAGTCCTGTCCTTTATATCTGATAAATCTTCCAGCTCATGTCGAACACCAGACACGGGGTCTTGAATGTAAATTTCGGGTAAATCAGTACCATTATGTTGTGTGTTCCAGGAGAACTTTTCAATGAATGCCAATTGCAGTCTCCCGATTGACAGCTCGTCTCGTCCTTCGGCGAGGACAATCTTCTTGACTTTTGACTTGTATTGAAGAAACAATGTAAGGTCCTTGGTTGGTGTTAGCGGAGGCGAAACTTGGAAAAAAGATTCGCCGGGCTTTGATTCCGTGGGATGGGGGAGGGTTGGTGGCTCATCAGTCTTTGACTGTAGCCTCGTTTGCTTGACACCGGGTTCTGGCGGAGCGATCTCCCCCATAAATGTTGAAGGATCTTGTAGAGGGCCGTTCAATGTTGCACTTGGCGCGTACTTCTCTTCCGGGGCTTGCACGGCGGGACCGTCACTCAGCTCAGCAGGACCGCTGCGCTGCTGCTGGGCCGACGCAGAGTCTTCCGGCACGCCTGGCATACGGGATGGAGAAGCTTCCACGGCCGCGGATTTTGATTGACTCGACAGGGTGCGGCTATGCCGTACAGACTCCCGGGACTGTACAGCCCTTAGTGATTCTCTCGCCTCTCTTCTTCCTCTGTTTGGAATCGGTGTTGTTTGTGATGGCAGGATGGGCATACCGTTTGCAGCACCACCCAAGTGTTTTGAAATCTGATATTGAGAGTATCGACGAGATGCTCGACGTTCCAAATCACCCCCCTTCTGTAGAGCCGCCAGTGCGCTTGATTGCGTGTCTGGCGGTGGTGGAGGAGGCGGGAAGGCGTCGATATTCAAGTCGCTGGCGGAGGACGATGGTGGCATGGTGGTATCTTCGGCTGGATAAGGTGGTGCCGGAGGGATGTTTTGTATGGTAGTTGGCTGATCTGGTATATTTGTGGCACGGGCTTGGTCTCGCTGGTGGTTATAGCGACGGCTCGGTGATGTGCCAGTGTTCGTTTGCGGGTTGGAATCGCCACGCTGGGACGAATCAGGTCGATATCCGTTTTCCAAACCCTCGTCTAGCAAATTGGTGAGACCGCTGGTGCCGCTCGCTGCTGTGCTAACGCTTGTAGTTCTCTCTGGTAAACTTGCATCTCGCTCCCTCCCCTGCTTCTGCCGTAATCGTTGTTGCTTGCGCTTCAGGCCGTGCAGCAAATTAATGATGATATCTCGAATGCGTGGAAGATACTTCTCCAGACTCTCTGCGCTGGCTTCTTGGCTCAGTGTTGCTTCCAAAATGTGTCTTAATAAATCGGGAACATTCCCTAGGTCGGATGTATCGACATTGATGGCGGTGAATGCTCGGCATGCCATGTTAAACTCGTAGCCGAGGCGCACGTAGACGTCGGAAACCTGCGTATCAGTAGCCTGGCCGCGGGACCATTGCGTCAAAGTTTCAAGCAGCTGCTTAGTGGCGACAAGTAGGTGGGTGACGCTCTTTTCGATTTGTGACAGCGGCATGCTAGATGATGAACTGCCGCCAGACCCCTAGATGATGAGAAGAGCATCGGTCAGCACTCGGTACCAGACCACACACACACGTGGTAGCATCTCGGCCAAGAATGGCCATGGAGCGTCGCGCGGGATGAAGTGCAAAGTGCAAAGCTCACCTCACGATTTGGCCGCCTCGATAGACTGCCTTGACCAGATCGGTTCGAGGCTGTAGATGATCGTGGTTGGACTCCAGCCATGCCAGGAGAGCTGGGTCGCACACTGGGCGGCGGGCCTGGGTCTGCGCCAGGCGAGCGGCGTTGTAAATAGCCTCGTTGCGACGAGCCTGGTTGGGCTTGCATCTTGTCGGTTGTTCCTTGGTTTCGTTGCTGCTCGTATCTGAGGTTGGGGGGCAGTTCAGTGCTCGAAATTGTCGCGATGACGAGCGTGTGCAACCACACATGGACGTGGACCGAGTTGACAGGATGGACGGACAAACTGCCGCCGTTGGGTTTGGGCAGCAAAGACTACAGATTAGAGTGTAAATGTAAGACGTCTTAAAAAGCAAAAAACCCGCATGGCCGAGCAAGAAACGGAAAGAGTTGGAGCAAGAGCAAAAAGCGCGCACAGGCTGTGCCAGTTGTGACGATGACACCGAGAGGAGAGGATGCGATGATGGAAACCAAGCGAGATGCGGCGTGGGATCCGGAGATCAGTTCAGGAGGACTTGACATTTGGGACGTCCAGATCGGGGCAAGTCCAGGTGTCGAGTCCAAAAATGCTACCAGACTGTGCGCGCAAGTACTCGGTACCCCTCCAACCGGTACCCGCCCAGGAGCGTCAAGATTCCCCCGTTACTCAGAAACACAGGTACCCAGTACCTAAAGCACCGGACTTCCATTTATCTGGTACCCTAGGTGCATATCCTGAGCCAGACCGTCTCCCACCAACGAGCGGACACCTGGAGGAGCCCCCTGCAACAGCCCGAGGCATGCGCCAACTCGTAAAATGTGGCATCCACTGGAGCCACATCACCACTCACGCAAGACGACCAATCTTCAGATCAACAAGATGCTACAAGATTGAAGACAGTGAAGTGTGTCGTGCGAAGCAAGGAGAAAAATTGGGCAATCACGAAAGCAAAGCAAGGTGCGTACATGACCGGCGCGGCCAATCATGGTGGCTGACCGAGCACCAGCTAGCCCTACCTGAGAATGGCAGCCCTTCAGGACAATGTTGTACAAGATGTCGCTTCGATTCAGGGCTGTGACCTCTGTCACGGTGTATCTATCGACGTGGAGCATCAAATATACGCGCAAGCTCTTGGAAACTTTCCCATGGTCCGTGGCACTGCCCTTCTTCTTGATACGAGCAACGCCTTTGTTGCATCTGTTCCAGAGCTGACCACTGACCAGTCGCGCGACGCACGCTTTCACATACTCTGGCCGAAGCAGTCCGAACCGGCTCTCTATTGAAAGCTCTCACTCAAGCATCTGCAGCTGATGTTGCAATGTCAGGACACGGATGCTTCAAACTTGAGCAAAGATGGGTGGTAGCATTGATCCCAAAATAACCCACCCGTTTACGGTGGCCACTGAGC